TCACAGGAAAATGATGTTTTCCTGTCATTTCTCTCAGATCTCCTTGTGACGTGGTTTTTACATGTTGGGATAGCCAAGGGTTTGGGCACCGTGACTGAGACCCTGCATTGCTGAGTAGGGAGATGTCTCCATGGATTCCCTTTGAGGACTGCTGAGATGAGCATGAAAACAAGCAGCATAGCCTGGAAGAAGCAAAATTCTCAATTATCAGTACCTTTAATTTCTTGAGGGGGAAAACAGGGTTTTGGGAAGGGTCAGATTCCTTCAGAAGCTCTGGATGGTTTTTAATGTCCCTCACGAGACTTCCTGTTCCTATATAATGATGCCTAATTATCCATTCCCTGTGTTGGCCAAATATGATCCCAGTGTGTGTTAGTGAACCCCCTGAACAATAAACTCTTCAAAAGGAGAGCTTTATGGCCTGCCTGGACAGCTGGAGTTGGCAAACCTGTTTGCAGGGAGCAGGGGCTGTAATGCTGTCTGGATTCAGGCTGAAGGGAACAGTGGCAGTGTCACTTCTGCATTCATCAGGCTTAGAATTTCTGAAAAACAAAGAAGAATTGTACCTGTGGTCAAAAACCCATAGAAAGAATCACAGACTGGTTTGGGTTGGAAGGGACCTTAAAGCTCATCCCATTCCACCCCCTCCCATGGGCAGGGACACCTTCCACTAGCCCAGGTTGCTCCAAACCCCATCCAACCCAGCACTGAACACTTCCAGGGATGGGGCACAAATTCTCTGTGGTGCAAGACCAGTGTGTTAGAAAAAAGCTTTTATTTCTGGTCTTCACCACAAAAAAGGTGTTTAGAAACCTCTGCTAGACTTTGAGCACATCAGTACGTACGTTTATCGCACGACATTTGTCATCAGCCACTTGTGTGCTGGTCATGCCTAATTACCTGCCTTGGTTCCTTCCTGCAGGTTGGAATTCCATCCATTTATGCACACATGAAGCAAGCAGGAGGGGGGTTTATAAATTTTTGGCCCGTAACAATGGAAAACCATCACCAGTTGAAAATATCTCAGTGGGCGTATTTGCAGAACGGGTTTTGCAGCAGTGGCTCCTCGTTGTTAACTGAGTACCAGGCTCCTGGGGGAAAATTCCCTGCAGGGGAAGTGGTGGGTGCATTTGCAGAGGTGGAAGCATCCTCTTGCCTGTGACATTCCTGTGCAGCCCATCCAGTTCCACCCCTGCCATGGGCAGGGACACCTTCCACCAGCCCAGGTTGCTCCAAACCCCGTCCAACCTGGCCTTGGACACTTCCAGGGATCCAGGGGCAGCCACAGCTCTCTTGTAGCTTTGGATGCAGCCCAGGATACACACACTAAAAGGATTTATACTTCCAGTAAAGGATAGGTATTCCCTAAGGATCCTGGAGGGGCAGAGAGGTCCTTGTGTTTCCACATTCAGAAAACTTCAGGCTGCAGTGGAATGGTTCTTTAGTGCCAGGAAAGGCAATCCTGCTTCCCTGCATTTTCAGTTGGAGCCAGCTGGATGTCTGGCAGTGAAGCTGCAGGAGGGTTTGATAAGGTATTTGATAAGGTCACTAGCTCTATATTTGTGTCCTCCAGGATGGTTGTTTGCTGGGTGAGATTGAATTCCTGGTTAGATGAACCAGTGGCTTCGTTAGCTGTTGGCAGCTGGAAGCTGTGCTGCAACACCCACCCGAGTGTGGTGATGGTGACTTGTGGTCCTGTGCTGGGCTGGGGCTGCAGCAAACCCCAGGACCTCAGCTCCTGGCCTCTGCCTCAAGTCTGGCTGCTCATCTGATATCTCGAGACACAACCTTGGGCTCCTGCTCCCCAAATCTGCTGTGGCCTTGTCCCTCACCGGTGTGTGAGCCCAGGGTTCATCACTCGGTGGGGACACAACAAAAGAGATGAGTAAATGCTTTATACAGATGGAGTTTTGAAGGCCTTAAGATCAGTGTTATTTCCTGAAATGGCTGCAGTTCCGTTTTGCTTGAAGGAAATTTCACTTTTGATGCCCAAACTGGTGCAATCTGTGCAGAACTGGCTTCTGTGTGAACTCTCCATGTCCCGTGGGAATGTCCTGACAGGCCAGGCTCTGGGCTGCTGTGTTGAGCAGTCAGCTAATTTTTGATTAGAAATCTTGCTTTGTAATCAAATTTTCATTTACGAAGAAAACAGAGGTTTTGAGTCTAAACCAATCAATAATTTGTATATACTTCCAAGTGGCTTTGTCCAAATTAAGATTCAAAACTTGAGGAATTAGTCTCAGCTTTTCCATGCAGCACCAAATAGTCCAACCAGGGAGGATAACCAACACCACCAATGGTGTCTTTTGTGTACTTTCATGTATTTTCTTTAATTAGTTCATCACAAATAATATTACACATGCTTCCCTGATTTTTAGTCAGTATTTATCAGATAAAGCTGTAGCCAGGGAGCTCCTGGACACTTGGAACAGAAGCTCTGGGAAGTGATAAACAGTCCCCTTGTTCATGAATACCTCTGGTTTCATGGAGGTTTGCTTTCTGCAGTTGGAATTACCAGGCTTATTCCATCACTGCCTTAATATTTTTTCTGTATTTTTGATCTCTCCTGAGAACTCTTATTTTTAACAGTCAATTTAAAGGAAGCCTCTGGAGTATCATAATGTGTATTCTGATGAGTACACCTAATTACAAAGAGTACATTAGATGAACGAGGCTGTATTTTTAATTTGCACACCTTTTTTTTTTGAACACAAGGAATTGTGAGTGCAGCCAGTGGTGATGAAATACCCGGTGTTCGGATAAATTCAGAAAATTGGGTTTGCCTTCAGGTAAAGCCTATTTGTATCAACAGATTTAAGCAAGAACAGATGTGCCTTTGTGTAAAGCCAGGCTTTTAAAAATCCCAGTTGTCATTTTTCTGTGTATTTATATTGGGTAGGAGATACCACTGAGGATGAGTTGGGCTGAAAGAAGAATATATTTTATTTGCTCATGCAGGAAGTCAGAGATAGTCACAGTGGTTGTGTTAAATTCATTTTATTTAATTTGCTGATGGCCTTACAATGTTTAAACTGACCAGCTTTGCTATTTGAGAATAAATGCTTTTCCCAACATCCTCCTGATCTTTGTGGGATGTTTATCCAGGCTTGTTAATGTGAGCTACCTTCCTTTTAATCCTCTTCTGTATGGCCAGTTGCAGGGTCCTTCTTGAAAAGAGATATTAAAACTAAAAGTTTTCTCTTTGAGAGTGTTCATGGGATAACAAGAAATAGCCCAGTGAGGGGTACCTAGGGAAGCAGTGACAAACATCCACAAAAAAAATCTGTTCACAGCTTTGATAGTCTCAAAATAGATTTATTTTTCCATTATATTTTCATTATATATTAATATTTTTTCCATTATATTGAATATCTTTTCCACTTAAACTTATTCCTCCAAAGAGTCAAAGTCAGGTTAATGCTACTGTTTGTACCAGTGAAGTGGAAAATGTGCATTTGAAGGCAGAGTTTTAGGGGCAAGCTGGGTGTCCAGAGGATTCTCCTCTCTGTCTCTTGGGGTGTGAGGGGGTTAATTGCCCTGACCTTGTGATTTTCCACTTTAACCCCAATTCCACAGTCTGAAAATACAAATTCCAGCCTTTCCCCTGTTCTGGGATGCCCTAACAGGTTTTTCCAAGCAGTTGTGACTGTAGAACTGAACCCTGTTGTAGGAAATTATGTGGATTTTTGCACAAAGACTGTGGTGTCTGTACAGGAAACGTCACAGGAAGCTAAGGGAAGGCAGAAGATTAAACTTGCACAAATTATTCCAACTTTAAAGGGCAGATCCTCAGAATTTTCTGTAAAACCATCAGTCCCCTGCCCTGACCCCCCAGTGCAGGGCCCTGTGTCCAGAATAGCTCCTCAGCTACATTATTCTTCCTCCAAAAAACATCTACCTATGGAATTATTCAGGACTTTGTGTCTTATTTGTATCTTGTTTTCATCCAAATTAACCTCCTGCTTAGGAGTTTGCATTTCTCAGTGGACAGAGGGATGTTCACAAGCACTTCAGGCAGTGTAAGCTGTCACTGCCACCAACAGATGTAACTCCTGCCACTCTCTCCAACATAATATTTCTACTTCTTGTGCCAGGGAAAAAAACCTTTGTGCAGCATGTGGTTGGATTGCTCAGAGACTTGGTCCAGCAGAGGAATATGCTCAGCACAAAAAGCTGTTTTGTTTTGGTGGGTTTTTTTTGGCTGGATGAGCTCCCAGGTTGGGTTCACCCTGCAGTTTCTTGGACTTGACTTGGTGGGGAGGGAGCAGGCTCTGCCCCTGTGCAGTCTGGAGTGTCTGGCATGGTTTTAGCAAAGTTGTTGTATCTACTTCCAGAATTCATTCTGGAGTGTGATAAACAAAGCCTTGTTTCTGTAAGTTTTTGAACAGGAGTTTATTACATGGTAAAAACAAGCAGCTGGCTGGGTGACAGAAATGGGGACAAATTTCCCAAATCTACACCCCTACTACAGTGTACATTTGGCATTTATCTTAGCTACTTCATGCATATTAATTATATCATATACATATACATTCTACAGTTTTTTGCTAAGCATTTAATATATGGGGTTTTTTACAGCTAAAGCTAAATGTTTATCTCTACAACCGGTCATAATTCACACATTCTTGGACAAACAGGTGCCTAAAAGATTTAAAGTTCTACCATATTTTATTCTTAGGATATAGGGAGGTTTCAGTGCCCCTTGACCTTGTAAGGGTCTGGTTTATTTCTTTATGGGGGTGTAATTAAGTTTTACAATCTGTTTGTTTTATTTTGATGTAATCACCCATTTGTTTCACGAATCACAATTATTTATTTATCACATGGATTTACCTGTTGTAATGTGTATAAAGCATTTTTAGGTTCTTAGTTGGCCGTTTTCTAGAGAGGTGCTTTTTCCATCTTTATCCACATGTTACCAAATGTTTTTCCAATGTGAGATGGTTTTAAGGACATTGGGCTGCAATGCTGAAATATAATGGTGTATTTTTATTTCGTAGGAAGCAAGAACAGAATCTATTGCCAGACCTTTGGAGATAAATGAGGCTGAGAAGGTGATGAAAATTGCCATTGACAGTGTTCTGGTAAGCAAAATGATATTTATTTCATTGAAAAATTATAATTTCTCTGCTGCAAGAAGGATGTAGCTCTTTTTATCTACAGTGAATGAGGTAGGGCACAGTGATGGCTATGAGCTGGCAGAAATCACACCTGCAGCAGAAAGGGTGAACAAATCTAGCAGCAGCACCTAGAAGATGTTAAGATCCTCTTTGCTGCACTGTCACACTATGTGACTACTGGTTTAATGTGCAGAAACATTCCCTCATCAAATAGCTGCACTTGGCCTCTCTCTTGGGAGAAAACACATTTTAGTCATATTCTCTGCCTCTCTTAGGAGCTTTGCCCCAAAAGCTGGACAGAAGGGATAAAAATGGCCTAAATCAGCACAGAAATCTACATCCCCCCACCTTGTCTAAGCTGTGTAAACTGTGCAGAGTCAGGGAGTGACCTTGGTGACCCAAAATGTGCTGGTACCTCTGGAGTTGGGAAGCTGGGCTCTGGAAGCAGGATAGCTGAGCTAAAGGGTAAGAAGAGCTAATCAGCACTAATCAGTAGCACTCTGCTGATCAGTGCCCTGCCAGGGCATTGTTGTGGCTCTCATTTTGGAGGAACTTCTGTCTGTCCCAGTCATGGCAGCTCTGTCCTTGCTCCAGTGCTTGGGTTCCTGAATTTCCAAACCTTTTGCTGCGCTGTGTGAGGAGGGGGGTTAATCAAATCCTAGTGATTACTATCAGTTAGTTAACTGCAGACTGTATCCAGTCCAAGTGTGGACTTACAAGGAGTGGAGTTGCAGCTTTAAACAGCCAGTGCCCAATCAGTAGATATTCCAGGTGATCTTATGTCTCTGCTCCTGGTCACAGTCTCTCTGAATATTAAAGGTTGTTAACATGCCCTTTGCATTCTAGCAGTAGCACTGATGAACTAAAAGCTGCATAGTAAACTGATTGGCTTCCAACAACATATACCTCAGCTAATTAATTCTGGCCCAGTTAATTAAGTGACCTGCTCGAGTTGAGCAGCACCAACAGTTGCTGCTGGAATTTCAGTGGGTCTGAAGTTCTCTCTGTCTTCCTCAAAAGATGCTCCTGGTTTCCATGAGCACACTGACTGTACCCAGCTCATCCTCATGAGCTGGAATATTCCCACTTCCTCCTCCTGTAGCACCTGTGTTAATGTTCAGGATGCCTCCCATAGTTTGAAAAAGCAGATAAAGCAAGATTTAGAAAATGATGAAGATATTCAGATAGAGTAAGTTCTTTACAAAAGGGACCTTTACCTTGAAAAGGAAAAAAAAGTTACGGAAACCAAAAATTCCCTGAAATAATACCAAGAATAAATGCATTTCTCATCTGTGTTTATGCAGATAGAATCGTGGAATCACTAAGGTTGGAAACAACCTTAATGATTCCATTAAGACAGATTTCAAAAAGATCTTAATGATTCCAAAAGACAGGCTTCTGCCTATCTTTTACTGCTTTTTCAGTGAGAAGGAAAATTGAAGCTGTGGGGTTTTTTTTCGTTTTCTTCTTTAATAATGTCTGAAAAAAATTAAGGTATTTTAAATTTAGAAGTGTCCAGTTAGTTCACTATCCTGGTCACAAAGAACTTTTTAATTTCCATTGCCTACTTGAATAAACACAGATGAGATTATACAGAATGATGTTCAGCATCTGAAAGATAATTCTAAGTGTTCCAGGGCCAGCCATGGTTCACCATCCTTCTCTTTTAGGAACAAGTCCGAAAGACTAAAGACATGTTGAATAATGTGGCTTTGGATGAAAGCAATTTGGAAGCCAAGATTGAAAAACGAAAACTGGAACTGGAAAGAAGCCAGAAGAGGCTACAGACTCTACAAAGTGTTCGGTAAAGATTAGGAGCTGATTATCTGTTGCATAAATGAGTTTTAGCATAAAGGGTGGAACTGTTCCCAGAGGCTTCTACCATCAGTTAAACCACCAGTTTAACTGCCAGTTAAAAAATTCATTCTGCATCCCTTGTGGGGATCAGTTCCTCTGATCCTGACATAAAATCTCTAGGATCATAGAATCCCAGAATGGTTTGGGTTGGAGGGACCTTAAAGCTCATCTCATTCCAATGTCCTGCCATGGGCAGGGACACCTTCCACTAGCCCAGGTTGCTCCAAGCCCTGTCCAACCTGGCCTTGGACACTTCCAGGGATGGGGCAGCCACAGCTTCTCTGGGCAACCTGTGCCAGGGCCTCCCCACCCTCACAGGGAAGAGTTTCTTCCATATATCCAACCTAAATTTCCCCTCTTTCAGTTTGAACCTATTACTCCTTGTCCTATCACTGCAGCTCCTGATGAAGAATCCCTTTCTGGCTTCCTCGTAGGCCCCTTCAGATACTGGAGGTATCAAGGTATTCAGGTTCACAGTTTGGGTTGATTTCTTGCCCTTAATTAGGCTGCAGGTTTATACAAGCTACAATCTGACCTAATATAAAAAACCAAGGGGAAATACTAGAAAAATCAGCAGTGGAAGGAATGAGATTGTTTCACACACACCTTTGGGTCAGTGTTGGAGGAGGTGTATGGGGTAGGTGTGAAGCATCAAGCAGCAGCAGTGGTTTTGAGGGTGCAGTATTTAGCTGTGTGGTATTAAGGACATCATCACTTCATCACACAAGTCTATGCCTCTAATGACACAGGACACTTTTGTGGCAAGGAAGTGCCCAGCAAAGTATGTGATTTCCCAGCCACACTACACACTGATTTTTTGGAGCTGTGGAACAACAGCATAATTAACTTAAATTCACCTGCTAAAGGGGTCAAAATGCTGCCTTTGTGCCTGTGTGAAAGGTCATGGTAGTGGGTGCACAGTAACCTTCCTTTTGCTTTATGTAGTTTCTGCATGATGGTTTAGTGAGCTTTTGGTCTCTGAAGCAATGTAAAACCTTACAAACCAAAGGGCCTTTGAGGCTGGTTTAGCAGACTTGGAAAGGAAGCTGCAAAACCAAAAGTGTATTTCAGAATTCTGCATATGCAGGGCAATATTTATAGAATCAGAGAATCACAGAACTTGGGTGGTTCCAGCCCAGCCCAACCCCCCAGGTTTGGGTTGGAAGGAACCTTAAAGCCTGTCTCATTCCACCCCCTGCCAGGGGCAGGGACACCTTCCACTTGAACTTCCCTGTCCAACCTGGCCTTGGACACTTCCAGGGATGGGGCAGCTACAGCTTCTCCAGGCAGATTTCACTGAGCAGCTTGTGCTTGTTCTCCCCAGTCCTGCTTTTATGGATGAGTACGAGAAGATTGAGGAGCAGCTGCAGAAACAATACAGTAATTACCTGGAAAAATTCCGTAATCTGACCTACATGGAGCAACTCCTGGATGATCATCGACGGGCAGAGCAAGAGATGTTTGAGGTAAGACAGCTCAGAAACGGTCAGCAGGACTGTAGAGCCTCTAGTGCTTGTCCTTAGAACAGAAAATGTTTCAGTGTCCCTTCACAAAAACAACATCACTGTTTGTAGATCCAGCTCTGAGTGATGGCAGGTGCTGGACAGCCCAGTGGGTGTTCCAGCTCTTGGCCAAACATGACAGCACAGCTTTATTTTCTGAGTTAGAGAAGTTAAACCAGTGTAATTAAGGCCCTTGTCAGTCTCTGACCCACTGAGTTGTTTTCAGTTGATGTTTTTTTGTACATGAAGAAGGTTCTCAGCATTTCTAGTCTTTGCTTACCCTACATTAATCAATGCATGTGCATACATACAGTGTATGTGCTAAGAGATATTGGGTGCTTATTTTTACTGTCTACCAACAACTTATATAAGGGTTTCTCATCACAAGGCTCTTCCATTTCCTCATAGTAGCAAAAGAAACAGCAAAGAGCATCAGTGAGGAGATCATTTGTGCTGAGATCCTCCCCCGTGGAATTCAGTTTTGTTTGGCAGAAATTCTGTTTTCTGTCAGCTTGCTGAGTTGCATCAGTTCAGTGGGATTCTCCAGCTGGGTGATCTACATCTGTGTCTTGTCTTGCTCCAGACTTCTCTTTGGGTGTTTACTGGACTGCAATGCTTTCAGCCAGTCTTTGCTTCAACTTCCTGTAACTTCATGTTTTGTTGTCTGGCTTTTCATCCTTCTCACAGCCATTACCCTGTGTATGTTCTGTTCTTTGTTGAAAACCTGTTTCAGTGAACAATCTCCTCTTGGACCTCAATGCTGGTGGGTGTGGTGGGTGTGCTACACCTGGAGTTACAGAATCACAGAATGGTTTAGGTTGGAAGAGACCTCTGAGATCATTGAGTCCAACCTGTGCCCCATCCCCAGCTTGTCAAGCAGAGCAGAGCACTGAGTGCCACGTCCAGTCCTTCCTTATAAACACCTCCAGGGAAGGGGAGTCCACCACCTCCCTGGGCAGCACATTCCAGTACTTAACAACAACCCTTTCCATGAAGAAATTCTTCCTGATGTCCAACCTGAACCTCCCCTGGCACAACTAGAAGCCGTTCCCTCTCCTCCTGTCCCTTGTTCCCTGGGAGCAGAGCCCCACTTCCCCCCAGCTCCCCCCTCCTGTCAGGGGGTTGCAGAGCCAGAAGGTCCCCCCTGAGCCTCCTTTTCTCCAGGCTGAGGTTGCAGAGCCAGAAGGTCCCCCCTGAGCCTCCTTTTCTCCAGGCTGAGCCCCCCCAGCTCCCTCAGCCACTCCTGCTGCTCCAGACCCTTCCCCAGCTCCGTTCCCTTCCCTGCACACTCTCCAGCCCCTCAATGTCTTTCTTGTGAGGGGCCCAGAACTGATCCCAGGATTGGAGTTGCCTCAGCAGTGCAACCAGTTAACCAGTTGTTAACCAATGCTTCCTCTTTCCTCCATCACCCTTTGGTCACAGGGAAAGCCATGCTGTGTCCTGTTGAGAAGTCTCAGATATTTTGCTTCATTATTGGCTTGAGGGATAAAATAACTTACCTTTTCAAAGGTGACATGGGCATTTGACAATTCGTTAATCCCTGTGAACCAGTTTCCCATTAGCCCCCCCCTTTTTATAAGCACTGTCTCTGGAGATATTTTTCCACCTTATATCTGTAGTCAGCCTGGTATTTTCACATCTTGTTTTATAATCTTCTAGTTCTTGTCCGTATCCTTAGCCCCCCCAAAAAGATAAGTCATCAATTAAATCATAATCTTGAAATGAAGCCTAAAATCTGATTTTTCCCTTCTTTTCAAATGCCATTGAGACTTAATAGCCAAAGGAGAAATGCTTTCAACTGAGCTACCTGAAACTGGTTATAAATTCATGTGCAGAAGTTTGTTAATGAGTTGGTGGCTCTTTGGGGGATTTTTGTTAAAAGATAATAAGACAAGGAAAAAGCCTTTGTCATTCAGGGCTGTGCCATGCTTAGAATATGGAAAACATTTTTTATTTTCCTTTTTCTCCTTCTTTCTGTGAGGCACCTGGGAATCCCATATGGTTTGGCTTTTCATTTCCTGGGATAAGCACGGAAACAGCACTTCGGCATAAAACAGAATTAAGGAGTGTAAAAGCTCGTGACAAAAAGATGTGGTTTTTCTCTGCACACTTCTGTTACTTGTGCCTAAAAATACTTCTAATATATAAATGATGAAACTCTGACCAGCTTTTTGTGAGCAGCAACACAGTGACTCAGGCAGCCACAACTGCTCTGCTGTAGAAGCTCTTGCTTTGGTAGGAGAGGAGGTTTGGTAGGAGAGGAGGTTGTGTGTGTCTCTTACAGCCAGACTTTCAGCAGTGCTGGAGTCTAAACTGTTACTTGAAGTCATTATGAGATGTCAGTCCTCAAAATCAAACTCCAGGACTTGGGAACTGAAAGAGGATGAAGAATTTCAGCCTGAAGAAGAGAAGGCTCTGGAGAGACTGTAGAGCCCCTTCCAGTGTCTGAAGGGGCTCCAAGAGAGCTGGAGAGGGACTTTGGACAGGGCCCTGGAGGGACAGGACACAGGGAATGGCTTCCCACTGCCAGAGGGATAGTGGGAAGGAATGTTAGATGGGATATTGGGAAGGAATTCTTGGCTGTCAGGGTGGTCAGGCCCTGGCACAGGTTGCCCAGAGAAGCTGTGGCTGCCACATCCCTGGAAGTGTCCAAGGCCAGGCTGGACAGGGCTTGGAGCAACCTGGGCTGGTGGAAGGTGTCCCTGCCCATGGCAGGGGGTGGAATGGGATGAGCTTTAAAGTCCTTTCCAACCCAAACCATTCCATCATTCTATGATTCTAATCTGGGTCCCAGCTAAATCACTTGCTGGTGCACTGCTGTTTCCAAACCAGTGAGGGGACTCTGCTATTTTTATTTTTGAAAGATAATGCATTGTTTAATCCATTTTGGATTAGTCTGTTGCCAGCCTGGAACACAATGGTAGATCTCTCACTTCTGTCAGTCTTGATCTGCTTTTCAGGTGATGCTTCACTTCTGTAGCTACTTGTTGGTGAAGCAAAACTGTGGGTTGTTTATTACTTGCTTGAAAAAAAAGAACAATTTGCTCCAAAACGATGCTGAATGTTGTCCTAAAGTTTATAATCTTGTGTCATTTTCAGCATCAACAGGGGAAAAAGTAATGAGGATAATTACATTTAATCCATTTTAGTACACGCTCTCTCAGCTGTCAGAAAACACTGAAAATTATGTTGATTTTTAACCCAACCCTGATTTGTGTTTTGTTCCACCAAACAAATCTTAATTATCTTCTGCAGAATCAGCGTGAGGCAATTCTTTTATCCTCTCTCTGCATTTTGCTAAATAGCTTGCCAGCAAAAAGCAACGGCAGTGTAATTAGATTAATCCAGCACTCCCTGTGCTGCCCTGGGAACTGATTCCTGGACCCCTCTCCTTGACTTGGTGCACGTTTTGAGGAGGAATTTTTGTTCTGATTGAGAGACCCTTCTGAATAATGAGATTAATCTCCCCTGCAGCTGGACTCAGACCTGGTTGGGCACCCTGCTGTTGTCACACAGCTGATGAGCTGGGCCAAAGTGCATTTCCTAATTAGAAAAGTGATTTAAAGATTGTACCCAGGCACACAGTTTTAATTAAGTGACACTGAGCCCTTCCAGCCTGCAGTGCTGGCGGTTGGTGTGGATTCCTTAGGGTTGTTTTTCGTGCTGTGGGTGCTCAGTCACATGGAGAGCAGAGCCTTGTAGCTCCTGGTGCTCCTTTGCCTCCTGCTCATAAGGAGTGCTGGTTGGAGGGCCATTGGTGGGAGTCTCCTGCCAGGCACTGGGCTGAGAAACTCTCTGTGTTCAAAGGAACTTAAAGGTGTTGAGTGAACCAAACAGTTGATTTGATGAAATTCACTCCTGCAGAGCACCTCTGATGTAGGAGCCCTTTGAAATTTATGAAAAATATTAAATTACTTGTCCATTATCAACTGGAGATGGCAGAAATCCTCACATGACTCCTCTTTAGAGTGAGTTTCTCACACTTATTGACAAGTGGTCATGTCATATTTATTCTTGGATCCGAGGAATTTGAACAAGGGCCTTTTGTCTTTGCAGTTTCCTTCACCTTTTTTTTACTTCCAGCCACCTCTTTTATTCTGCCTCTGTTGTTTTGTGGAATTACTCCATCTTCCTGCAGCTCTGTGCTGAGGCAGGGATTTATGTGCCATGTCTCCTCAAAGATTTGCACTTATTTTTCTGCTTTGTAAAAGGATTCAGCACACTTGGTTCACTTTTACCATTTCCAAGATGAAATAGTTTTGGATGTTTAGACACAAAAGCTATTAGAACTTTAGCTGTTCTGAAAAAAAAAACAATTTTCAGGAGTTTTCAGATTTGGGTATTGAACTTGTCTCTGGATTTTAAATGAATGCCTCTCTTTTAAAGAACAATACAGTTCAAAAAGGTGTTTTTGGAATTAGTTTGTGTCATGCCAGAATAACTTGGCAATATCCTTTAGCATTTGCCTTTTCCCTAGAGAGAACATGCTTATTCTTTCTAGTGCTTCTCAGAGGACACCCCTGAAGTACTTTCTTCTACAGCTGCTTTCTTCTAAGGTGTTTTCAGGCTGCTTTTATGCTGGTACTGTGAAATCTCAACTAGGGACCACCATGAGGTGGTGGACACAGGGATGAGGATGTTCTGAGCCACTCAGTTGTTATCTTTGGTTTGGGATTGCTTAAACCATTTTTCTTTTCATCATGGTGGTATTTTGCAAGGCTGTGTAGTGATAGAACGAGGGGAAATGGCTTTAAATTGAAATTTGAGAGATTTAGAGTGGATATTAGGAAGAAATCCTTCCCTGTGAGGGTGGTGAGGCCCTGGCACAGGCTGCCCAGAGAAGCTGTGGCTACCCCAGCCCTGAAGTGTCCAAGGCCAGGTTGGACAGGGCTTGGAGCAACCTGGGCTAGTGGAAGGTGTCCCTGCCCATGGCAGGGGGTGGAATGAGATGAGCTTTAAGGTCC